CTGCATTATTTACAGCATTGTACAATAACAACTAGAAGAGGCAGTATACTTCATTGATGCTTGTCTGGTAATATCACTTCTGTGTTATAATGGAAGGTTTTCTGTGATGTATGAAACTTGTGTTTTTTATACATAAATGAGTATAGTTAGATTAGTGTTGTGGTAATGCGTTTTCATCTGTAAATAATCAAGTATGTACTTGAGGCACTACTTCTGATTTATTGCAGTGCTCAGTCTTAGTTTTACTTTTGTTCTTAAAGCATTCAATTTTGCTTTCAAATCTTTGTACCTTAGTTCTGAGTTAGATTTGCAGATGTGTACAGATAGTTCATATTTATGTATTGTACATAATCATGCTATCCAGCATTGATGCTATATTGTATTATGTAAGTAATAAAAGCCATGTACAGAGGGGAAAAAAAAAGTAGGCTGGCTGATGCAGAAGATAGAATCAGTGATTCGGAAGACAGGTAAAAAAAAGCCAATCAACAACAACAACAAAATTTTTTAAAAAATTAGAATAGTTTATGGAACTTTGGGACAACATGGAACAACAATATTTACATCATAGGGGTGCCAGAAGAAGAGAGTGAGCAAAGGATAGAAAACCTGTTTCAAGAAACAATGACAAAATCCTAGCCAGTTTGGCTCAGCGTTTAGAGTGTTGGCCCACAGACTGAAGGGTCATGCATTTGGTCAAGGGCACGTACCTCAACTGCAGGCTTGATCCCTGACCTGGTCAAAGTATGTGCACAGGCAACCAATTGAGGTGTCCTAAGTATAGCCCAACCACAGTGATTAGAGCGTTGGCCCTTGGACTGAAGGATCTTGGGTTCGATTCCAATCAAGGACACATACCTTGGTTGCAGGTTCAATCCCCAGTTGGGGTGAGTCCAGGAGACAACCAATCAATGTGTCTCTCACATTGATGTTTCTCTCTCTCTGCCTCTCCCCCTCCCTTCCACTCTTTCTAATAATCAATGGAAAAAATATCCTCAGGTGAGGAATAACAACAAAAAAGACAGAAAATGTACCTAACCTGGTGAAAGAAAAAATCACACATGTTCAGGAAGCAGAATCCCAATCAAGATGAACACAAGGAGACTCACACCAAGACACATCATAATTAAAATGGCAAACACTGAAGACAGAGAGAGAATTTTAAGGGCACCAAGAGAAAGAGTGGATATAAAGGCTGTGGTATATTTACACAATTGAATACTATGAGGCTGTAAAAAATGAGATCTTAACCTTTGCAATAGCATGGATGGACTTGGAGATTATTATGTTAAACAAAATAAACCAGTCAGAGAGAGACAAATACCATATGATCACACTAATATTTCCAGTCTAATGAACAAAATAAACTGACAAAATAGAACCAGAGGCATGGATACATGGAACAGACTGACAAATGTCAGAGGGGAAGAGGGTGAGAGGGACTGGATAAAGGAAAGTGAAGGAATTAGCTAAAGAACATACATGTATAGCCCATGGACACAGATAATAGTGTGGCGAGGGCTAAGGGAGGGGGATGGGGCCTGGGTGGAGGTGGTAAAAGGGGGAAAATGGGGGACATCTACAATAGTGTCAACAATAAAATATTTAAATTAAAAAAAAAGAAGTCTAACATCACCAAGTGTTGGAGAGTGTAGGGAGCGGCTCTAGGGTCAAGCCTTGGGCTGACCTGTGGTAGGACCACAAACAAGTCCCAGCCTGGAGGACAGAGCTCTCCTAGCATAATTAAGCCTGACCTTGTAGCCCTCCCTAATTCCTTCCTAAGTAGCTAATGGGCTGTGGGAGGGGCAGATAGGGTTGCCAAAACAAGAACATTTGTATACATGTTAATCTACGCTTGTTTTAATCAGACTATAAAATAAAGCATCGGCTTGCAGGCTGGGTCTTTTGTGTCCTCACTCAGGTACGGGAGATCTACTGAGCCCCAGCTGTATTCTCTTATCTGTCTTTTCTTCAACCCTTCACCGCCCCTCCTCAGGTTCACCCTTGGCCGTGCTGGCGTGGCACAGGAGAGGATGTGGACCAATGGAAATTTTACACATGGCAGGTGGGTACAACCATTTAGGAAAACAATTTGACACTATTTTATGAAGTTGAACCTTCAAAGACCCAATAATTCTACTCCTAGGTATATACTCTAGAGCAGGGGTGGGGAATGTCTGGCCCGCAGGCTATATGAGGTGCACAAAATCATTTGGTCTAGCCCTGCCAAGGCATTAGGGATAAGTTAATAAAATGTTTGGCCCATGAATGATGTTATAAATATCCAAATGGCCCTTGGAAGAAACAAGGTTCCCTACCATTGCTCTAGAACATAACATTCTCAACAGGGGTGATACTACCCTCAAGGGGATAAAATAGTTTTGAGGAGAGTAGGGTATAGGCAAAAAAAATCATACTCTTTTTATGCATAAAGCACTGATATGCAGTCAGTACATCTGTGGTATTAGAATTTTATTAGAAGAGGACTAACTTGAGGGGAAGGGTGATGTCTATGAAAGGCTCCTAAGTGAGGCAATAATGAAAAAACATTTGAGAAACAATGACCTAGAGATACACCTGCACACATGCACCAGAAGAAAAGTATAAAAGTATTCATAGCAGCACTATTCATAGCAAAAATCAGGAAACAATTCAAGGAGCCATTAGTAGAAAAGCAGATGAATAAATTGATATATATGCACCAACGGATGACGAATTAAAAAATAACAATCCTTCAACTATCAATAAAAAGGAGTAAATCACAACTACATACCACAAGAGGAATTTCAGTAAAATAATGAGTGAAAAATTCAAGTCCCAGAAAACAACTGTAATAGTAAATCAACACCTCTAGAAATCTAGTTCCCCAGTACTCCCAAGTGAGGTCCTGGAACAAAGACTCCATAGACTCCTAGATGAATGTTTGTCACTCAGTGGGTCCTGAATTTAATTTAATAGGTCATAACTAACATTTTAAAAATATGAAATAGAAGAGAATAATCAAAATGACTACTCACAGTAAGGGTAAAGCTTGTTTTGTTTTATAAATATGTATACACAGATACACACATCCCTATCCACAGATTCTAAAATCTAAATAATTCTGAAAACCTTAAATTTCTTTCATAAGTTTGGTGCAAAAATTCACAGGGCAGCCTGGCCAGTGTGGCTCAATGGTTGAGCATCGACATATGAGCCAGGAGGTCACAGTTCAATTCCCGATCAGGCACATACCCATGTTGCGATCCCCAGTAAGGGATGTGCAGGAGGCAGCCGATCAATGATTCGTATCCTTGATGTTTCTATCTCTCTCTCCCTCTCCCTTTCTCTCTGAAATCAATAAAAAAATATATATATATATTTTTTAATTCACAGGGCAGCCCTAACCGGTTTGGCTCAGTGGATAGAGCGTTGGCCTGCGAACTGAAGGGTCCCAGGTTCGATTCCGGTCAAGGGCATGTTCCTTGGTTGCGGGCACATCCCCAGTTGGAGATGTGCTGGAGGCAGCTGATTGATGTTTCTCTCTCATCGATGTTTCTAACTCTATCCCTCTCCCTCTCTGTAAAAATCAATAAAATATATATTTTTTAAAAATTAGCGAAAACTAATCTGAAATGCCCTAGGCTATTCATAGCCTTTATTCTTTTTCTTTTTTATTAAAATATATTTTTATTGATTTCAGAGAGGAAGGGAGAGGGAGAGAGAGATAGAAACATCAACGATGAGAGAGAACCATTGATCGGCTGCCTCCTGCACAACTGGGGATCGAGCCTGCAACCCGGGCATAAACCCTTGACTGGAATCGAACTTGGGAGAGGAAAATGGCGACCAGCAGGAAGGTAGGGAGGGAGAGAGTGTGAGAGCACAAGGAAGTGATAGAGGAGTGTGTGGACGTGTGTGGTGTGTCTGGAATCGAACTTGGGACCCTTCAGTCCAAAGTCCAACACTCTATCCACTGAACCAAACCAGCTAGGGCAGCCTTTATTCTTTTACACTCCTTATAATACATTCCATTGCAGAAATATTAATGTTTGGTTATAGCATGGTATACATGTTATCTTCTTTTTTTTAAATGTATTTTTATTGATTTCAGAGATGAAGGGAGAGGGATAGAGAGATAGAAACATCAATAATGAGAGAGTCATTGATTGGCTGCCTCCTGCTTACCCCCTACTGAGGATCAAGCCCACAACCGGGGCATGTGCCCTTGACCGGAATTGAACCCGGGACCCTTCAGTCCACAGGCCGATGCTCTATCCACTGAGACAAACCAGCTAGGGCCATGTTATCTTTTAAAGTTCAAGATATTACAAAAGCCTTCTGGACCTAAGAGTTTGTGATAAGTGATTAATAACCTTATCTATGTATGTAACTCTACATATTTGTGCACTAAGTCATAATGTAAAATATATTTCTGGCCCTGGCAGGGTGGCTCAGTTGCTTAGAACGTTGACCCATATACCAAAAGGTTGTGGGTCGATTCCTGTTCAAGGCATACACCTAGAATGTGGGTTTAATCTCTGGTCAGGGCAAGTACAAAGAGAGGCAATCGATAGATATTTCTCTCTCTCTCTCCTTTCCTCTCTCTAAAATTAATAAAAACATATCCTCGAGTGAGGATTAAAAAAAAATTGTAATTAAAAAAACCCCCACACATATTTCTGACTAGGTTGAGTTAAAGTCTGAAAGTCACTGGCTAATGACAGTTTTCATGGACACTGGCCACTTCATTCATTCTTATTCTACAAAACTCCAGGAAAGAGACATGCCACACCTTTATGATTCAGAATGTTCTTGTGCATTTCTTATTTAAATTCTTCCCATTTTACTTTTAAGACCATTTCTTGTTCTGAGGAAGCAGTAATCAGTTAGTCATCTTTTATAGGTGGCCTTTAAATGGAACACAATGTCTAAAATTTACATCATTCCTAAATTCAAAGAATAGAAAAAAAAGTATCCTAACCTTTATAGGAGTTAAGAGGGCCCTGTCACAGCCTTACCTTCAGCAGGTTTAGGACTTTCTTGCCAAGATCCAGCTCAAAGTTGGTATAATTAGAACCACACATGTCATAGATAAACACCAGTCCATTTCTCTGAGTTTCAAAGCTGTAAAGCAACCATTGAACAAAAACATTTAAGTAATCAGATGAATGAGGCAGATTGAAAGCCTGGGGCAAAAACAAAAGCATGGGACACATTTGGGACCAAAATAACCGCCTCCCTGAACACTAGCCTTACAAAAAGATGATTTACCTTTGGTATCTGCTATGCTTATTGTGATACTGTGATTTGTAATAAGAACTATATATTTGGTCTTTGACCCTGCTCCTGGCATAATTCTGAAAACTCTTGGAATTTCCTAAGTGAAGAGCTCAATAAAGGTATCTGTTGTCATTGAGGTGACTGCTGGAATGTCACTAAGTTACTAAGGATGGGTGCTGGTTGCCAGGGAAACCAAACACTTTCAGCTCCATCCCCACCTGGGAAGGAAGTGTGGGGGAGGGGCTAGAGACTGAGTTCAATCACCAATGGATAATGATTTATTCTATCACACCTAAGTAATGAGGCCTCCATAAAAATTCAGAAGGATGGGGTTCAAAGAGCTTCCAAGTTGATGAACATGTTGAGGTATTGGGAGAATGGCTCTCTCAGAGAGGGTATGGAAACTCCGTGTTCCTTCCTCATCCCTTCTATGCATCCCTTCCATCTGGCTGTTCCTGGGTTATATTCTTTTATCATAAATCGGTAATCTAGTAAGTAAAATATTGCTCTGAGTTCTGTGAGCCATTCTAGCAAATTCATCAAATTCAAGGAATGGGTGGTTGAAACCTCTGATCTACACAGCCTATTGGTCAGAAGCAGAGGTGACAACCTGGAATTGCCATTGGTATCTGAAGGGGGTAGAAGGAGACAGTGTTTAGGACTGAAAATCCTTAACCTGTGGGACCTGAGGCTATCTCCAGGTAGACAGTGTCAGAACTGAGGTGAATTGTGGACCCCTGAGCTGGTGTGAAAGAACTGCTTGATAGTGTTGGGAAAAGCCTCACATGTTAGAATTGGGATTGGAATCATACTTACTGATGCATATTTGTCCAGATTTATCAAGTACAAATCTCCTAAGTTGAGAATGTTCCAGAGCATCTAGGTTATTGAAATTTGAACTGTTTTCTTGTATGTGTCTGAATCTGCCTATCCAAATTCTATAACATTCCATGTTCAGCTCAAAAGTTTCCTCTTCCATGAAGATCTGTCTCCCTGATAACTATAATCAAATGTACTGCCTGCCATACTTCTCCTTCTTGAAGCCCCACAAATCTTCCTGTGGATCTTTATTACAGCTCTTAAAGTATACCAACTTTGTATAGTTATCTGATTCTCTCCTAGAGTGGAAATGGGTTTTGTTCACTCATTATCCCCAACAGTCCCTAGCACAGTCCTTGCAACACAGGCCCATAATGATTGGTCACTGAATTGTAATCCAGTGGACTGGAAGCTATCATGAAGAAAATACATTATACTTGTGAAAAACTAAAAAAACAAAAACAAACTCTAAGCTTAATGACTGTGAATTTGTATCTATTGACTTGTAGGAAGAGAACCCACAAATAGTCTTTGGAAAACATCCTCAAAAGTAAATTGGCCCAAGCCAGTTCGGCTCAGTGGATAGAGCATCAGTCTGTGGACTGAAGGGTCCCGGGTTTGATTTCCTGCCAAGGGTACATACCTTGGTTGCAGGTCAGGGCACGTGCAAGGAGGCAACCAATCAATGTGTCTCTCTCACATCGATGGTTCTCTCTCTCTGTCTCTCCCTGTCCCTTCCACTCTCTCTAAAAATCAATGGAATCTACCTCTGTAATTTACTCAAGAAATGTTTTCTTACATAAAAAAAGGTAAACTGAAAGGTGGTGAGCCTATTCCAAGATTGAAGTTGGGAACACATGAAGATATGAAAAGTATTCCTCAGTGCAACCTTAATGGCTAAGTACTTTTCAAAGTTGCCTCTTCTACCAAGCCAGATCCTTACTTGTTTTAGTCTATACACAGAATAAATTATTACTTGACTGGACTATTCACAGGTAATTGTAAGAGTTTTCACATTTATTTAAAATTGAGAAAAAATTTTGGCTCAAAACACAATCCTGAAATCAGGGTCTCATGTTATTTTGTACACTAATTTTTTTGTATGACCTCCTGGAAGCCTCTATACCTTTATTCTTTCAATAAAATCTAAGACAGAAGCACCAATTCACAAAGTAGTATTTTAAAAATATCTAATTGTGAGGTACACCCAAGTTTCTCTAGCAGCCCCTTCAAATGGCCCCTAATATGCTAAATCTTGACTCTTTTTATGACCCCAGAGAGATTATGATTCATCAAGAGCAAAGATGCTATTAATCGAATGGCACCATTACTATCCAGGTCTAGAGACTTCTCATTTCTTCACAAACTCATCAAAGACCAAATTCAAAGAATTATAGAATTTCCCCTCACAGCTCCAGCTTGAGGCAGGAGACTGAAACAGAGAGAAGACAGTGCCAGAGGAAATAGAATTTAATTTTTTTAAAGTATTTTTTTTATTGATTTCAGAGAGGAAAGGAGAGGGAGAGAGAGAGAGAAACATCAATGATGAGAGAGAATCATTGATTGGCTGCCTCCTGCACGCCCCCACCCCCCCCACCGCCACACACACACAGGGGATCGAGCCTGCAACCTGGACATGTGCCCTTGACTAGAATCGAACCTGAGACCCTTCAGTTCGCAGGCCAAAGCTCTAGCCACTGAGCCAAACTGGCTAGGGCAATTTTTTTTTTTAATCCTTACCCGAAGATATTTTTTCCATTGATTTTTAGAGAGAATGGAAGAGAGAGGGAAAGACAGACAGAAATATCGATAGAGCATTGGCCAGGGCCCAGGCCGGGGAGGAGCATGCAACCAAGGTACATGCCCTTGACCAGAATCCAACCCGGTACCCTTTGGTCCCCAGGCTGGCATGGACCAAAGGGCACTGAGTCAAACTGGCTAGGGCTAGAATTTAATTTTTAAAAAGCAATCTTACAAAATGATGCAGGTTCTATATTTCCAAAAACTGTTCATCCTCTGAAGGCACATGAAATAAATAAAAATGGGATAGGATTTTCACTTTTCTGGGTATAGAATATGAGGTTTACAATAATAGCTAATTCCCTACTAAGAATAATTGCTTCCCTCCTGAATTTGATTCCTGAGCTGGATGCTACTGGGAACACCAAGAAGTTTAAAACACAGTCCTTCACATGCTTCAAAAAAATCGAGGGGAGGGGTGGATGAGGAACTATCAATGAAACAAGATTGGTTACAGATCACTTTGAAGACCATGGATGATGGGCATGTGGAAATTTATGGTAGCATTTCTTCTCCACCTAGGGAGATTTGGGAATTTTCCCTTATGTAATGTTAAAAAAGAAGGTACTCTACCCTTATGGAGCTTACAATCTAGTAATAGATTTTTTAAAAAAAATAATATAAAATAAATAACATCATTAAAGCCATGCATAATTAAACACAAAATGATCAGTATTAGTAACAACTGCTATTAAAGTCAGAATAAAAAGAATTTTATTTGTGACAGGTTGGAGTGGTGACAGGGCCAGTCATAGAGGTTGGACCTTAAAAAAGGGCATTATATAATAAAGAGGAGAGCTTTCCTCCTCTTCCATCCTGGTTCAAGGTAACATGGGAAAACAAGAATTTCTTCTCACTATTGAGAAGATTTTCCTTGGAGAAAAGACATTTATGCACCTTCTAAATAATGAGGGGTCACTAGGGTTTTTAAGAAAGAAATGGACATCATGAAAAATGTTATGATTTTACCTTTATGGTGCTCCTGTGGGATCAAATACTCAAACTGGAAAGAGCAAGCTTTGGTTACTGCCATGCCTATATGAGAGCTTTGACTCTCTAAGCTGCCCAAGGAAGAAGGCCAATACTGAATTTTCTGGTAAAGGGGTCTTTCATTCATTTCCCTGAGTTAAAGTAGAATTTTAAAGGAACCTATATTCTGGAAATCATGCCTGAAGACCAATCACCGAAAAGAACTGAGACACTCCACACTTCTAATTGTGCAGTACTGGGCCCCTGAGACCACTGGTCCTCTCTCCTTAGTAACTTCTCCTTTTCAGAACAACGTTGTGTGTAGTTTAGATCTATCTCCCGCTAAGCATCAAAAGCAGAAGCTAAATACTATGAAAATAACATTAACAAGGCAGTAACAAGTAAACTAGACAGAGAGCTTCAACTGAGACAATCCTTTGGCTATTCCCATCCCTTAAATCCATAGTATGACTAAAGCTGTGCAGAGTTCTGTTACTGTATCAGGTATCAGCCCTAAATATATCACTCCTAACCCAGAGGACCAGCCCATAACATCCAGAGCAATAACAAGCTGTAAAGGCAAGCACGAAGGTAAAAAGTACAGCAGAAAAACAACATAGCAGGGTACAAATGCTCTAGCCAAGAGAAAAAAATACAGGATCTTAAAACTGCTTGGACCAATATGTGATGACTGTAAAAGAGTCATATAACTTCTTGGGACTTCAGTTTCCTTTTCTATAGAATATTAATGATATTATTTACCTTAGAGGGGGAGAGATATAACCTGAACTGGTTTTTTTTTTGTTTATGTGCCTATTGATAAACAAGATTTTACTTAACTTTATACTTTTGGACTCTTCACTCCTGATTGTCAAAATCCTCTGAGTTAAATACCATTTTTCCTATTTTACAAAGATACTGAGGCCCCAGAGGGTTTTGAAAAGTCAACAATCAGGGACGAGTAAACAAAAAGAACCAGCACAGGCCCTGACCAGGTAGCCCAGTTGGTTAGAGTGTTAACCAGATATGTCAAGGTTGCAGGTTCAACCCTTGGTCAGGGCATATACAAGAAGCAACCAATGAATTGTAAGTGGAACAACAAATTGATGTTTCTCTCTCTCTCTCTCAAATCAATCACTAAATATTGCCCTGGCTGGTGTTGCCCAATGGTTAGAGGGTCAGCCCTGGAACTGAAGGGTCGTGGGATCAATTCCAGTCAAGGGCACATACCTGGTTGCAGATTCCCCACCCTGCTTGGGGCTGATGGGGGAGGCAACCAATTGATGTGGCTCTCTCAAAGTAATGTTTCTCTCTCTTTTTCCTCTCTCCCTCTTCCCCTCCCTCCCACTCTCTCTAAAATCAATGGAAAAAATATTCTCTAATGAGGATTAATCAAAAAAAGGGGGGGGAGGGGCCTAGGATGGTGCCTCAAGTGGTTGAGCATTGACCTATGAATCAGGAGTTCACAGTTCGATTCCAGGTCAGGGCACATGCCCGGGTTGTGGGCAGCTGATCATGATTCTCTGTCATCATTAATGTTTCTGTCTCTCACTCTCTTTCCCTTTCTCTCTGAAATCAATTTAAAAAAAAAAATTTTTTTTAAAGGGACAGCAGAGGCTGGTCTGGGAGGTTCAGAGAGGTGGCCCAGCAGCACAAGAAGAAAAGGAGCCCCAGCAGGGGGGAGGGGGTTGTCATCCAACACACAAGCAGGGAGACCTTGGATGCACTGCTCAGACTCTGAAAGTACACAACACCACTGCAGCCAAATTATCCTTCAACCATCAAGTAGAATAACGATGTTTTCAAAAAAAATAAAAAATAAAAGAAATATTTTTAAATTGCTATTTGCTTTCTCAGTTTCTGTTATTCTGAAAAGAGATAGCAGGTAAAGATACAGAAAACCCACCAGCTTGATAGTATCTGGAAACATGCCAAGCCTTGAAGGACATGGGACATTTTCCATACGTAGCACTCACTGCTCAGGACATATCCAAGAAACATATGGAAGGCACTGCTAAGTTTTATCAAATCAAGAACTGTCACTTTCCCATATGAATGTTGACCACCTAAAAGATAATCTCACCTATCCACAGCTCTGTCTAACAAGTAAAACAGAGCCTGAAGTACCACATGTTGCACTGATTTGTGGGGATGATGCAATCTGGCAGTGAAGAGGGCAATGGAGGCTCCTGTTGGGTCCCGAACATCCTAGAGCAAATAAAACAAAAGACATTATAAATCAAATAGAAAATCCCAATAACCTCTAAGGATTATTATATCCTGGACACAGCTTTCCGATATGAAGATAACAGATACTGGCAATACTTCTCTGACTTGCATCAATTGCTTCAGAAAGGGAAGGGAAGAAAGTTTATGTCATCCCACGAATGATTCTCAGAAACCCCCCGCCCCAAACTATATTTCAGTGATAGGGAAAAAACACATTATCTTAAATCTTCAATTGCAGAAATTAAAATATGGTTTACACTGGCTGATTAGCTAATTTCCCAGGCAGGATGCCAAAAGAAACAAACAGCAGAGGAAAACTATAAAATCCACCCATTGTATACTTACCTGCAAGGCTATGATTTCTAATTGAAGCTTGCATTCAATAACATAGGACGGGCCTCTGACACATTATATACCCATTCCAAAGGCCTTGACTGTTATGGACCAATGAAAAAAATTTTCTAAATCTACAGTACAACTGATTTTCAATAATTTCAATTATTACTAGAATAATTTTATGCCAAATTGCACAGCTGCTTTACATCTGCTCCTGACTGTGGAAACTCTCTAGATTCGGCATAAGGTATGCAGCAACAAAGTCCAAAGAGGACAACAGCTACAAAAAGAAATAATGAGACATTACAAGAGGGGTCCATGAAGACTCACTAAGATGGTGAATTTTCCACTAAGAATCTCAGAACGGAGAGGTTCTTCATGAGGTTTCAGATTCACAATGCCTTCCTTCCTTCGTGTTTCCTAAAAATAAAGCACACAAGATAAATTAATATAAAAATACTATGCACCCTAGCCAGTGTGGCTCAGTTGGGTTGTGTGTCATCCCATGCACCAAAAGGTTCCCCGGTAGGGGTCGTGCAGGAGGCAGTCTATCAATGTTTCACTCTCACATCAATGTTTCTCTCTCCAGCTCCCTTCTACTCTCTCTCTCTCTAAAAAAAAAATGAAAAAATGAAAATCAATAAAAAATATTTTAAAATAATAAATTTTTTATATATATATATTTTAAAGAGATTAAAAATGGTGGCAGAGTAAGTGAATGCTGCATGGACACACTCCCAGGAATTACAACTAAAATACAAAAAAACTTCCAGAATAATCAATGGAAGACAAGGGTTGCTGTCTGCCAGGAATAGACGGCTAGAAATGCAGGCAACCTCTTAAAAGGCCAAAGCACAGCCCTAACCGGTTTGGCTCAGTAGATAGAGCGTCAGCCTGCGAATTGAAGGGTCCCAGATTCGATTCCGGTCAAGGGCATGTACCTTGGTTGCAGGCACATCCCCAGTAGGGGGTGTGCAGGAGGTAGCTGATCGATGTTTCTCTCTCATCCATGTTCCTAACTCTCTCTCTCCCTCCCTCTCTGTAAAAAAAAATCAATAAAATATATTTTAAAAAAAGGGGGGGGCCAAAGCATAAAATTTAGTATATAGCCACTCATCTTGTGCTCTGGCAGAGGGAGGGCAGAGTGCACTGGAGCTGTGTGGGCAGAAGCCAGGATTGGGGGCTCTGGAGTTAGAGCTCAGAAGGCAGACACCCTGGTTTCCTGTGCTGAGTCATCTTTCTCACACAGACATTTGCTATACAGGAGACTTTGCCTGGGGGGAAGAAAGCTGACCCACCATATTGGAAAACACCTTGCCCCAAGGTGCAAAGTTCTGAGGCTCAATAGGAGACAGAGTATGAGAGTTAGTCTCCAGGCAGAAGCAATTGCCCCAACCTGTTGAAAAACTCTTGCCACACCTGTAAATGATTACTTAAGGACTATTTAAGACAGAATCCTATCAGTCTGTAGGAATTGGAGGTCTCTGGAGGAGTTGAGTCTTTGCCTGGTCTAATTAATCAGAAACAGCATTTGACACTATCCTGCACTAGAAGTTAGTGTAGCAAACCTACCTAATAGATGGTCATAAACCCAAACAGGCAGCCAAAATGAGGATACAAAGAAACAACCCCCAAATTAAAGAACAAGAGAATTCTCCAGACAAAGATATAAATGAAATGGAGAAAAAAAATATCTGATATAGAGTTCAGAATAATGATGTTAAACATGCTCAACAGCATGAGAAACATGTAGTAACTATAAAGACGGAAATAAAGAGTGACATGGCAAAAATAAAAGACATATTAGAAGGAATACACAGCAGATTAGGGGAAGCGGAGGATCAAATCAGTGAATTAGAAGACAGGGTTGAAAAAAATCACTCAATCAGAGAACAAAGAAAAAACCCCACAAAAAACAGGAGGACAGCTTAAGAGATCTGTGGGACAACATGAAACGTAACAATATTTAAATAGTAGCTGTGCCAAAAAAGACAGAAAGGGAGAAAGAGATAAAGAACATGTTTGAAGAAATAATGGCAGAAGGAAAAAGTCACAGAAATTCAGGAGTCATAGAGAGTCTCAAGGAAGAAGAACTGAAACAGCTCCATGGCCAGACACATCCTAATTAAAATGCAAAAAATTAAAGGCAAAGAGAGAATCTTAAAGGCAGCAAGAGAAAAGCAAACTGTTACCTATAAAGGAGCTCCCATAAGGCTGACACCTGATTTCTCATTAGACACTCTGTAGGCCAGAAGGGAATGGCATGAAGTACTCAAGGTAATGGAAAGCAAGTACAGTGGGGCCTTGACTTACGAGTTTAATTCGTTCTGTGATGGAGCTCGTAACTCAAATTACTCGTATGTCAAATCAAAAAGTGAACGAGTGAGACACATGATGCTGGGCTGATGTTGTGGTGTTCACTGTGACGTTCGCTGTGCCAACTAGCGGTGGGATATCTGAAGCTGGCTCGTAACCCGAATTTTAGCTCGCAACTCAAAGCAAAAAATCGGCCGAGAGATGGCTCGTATCTCGAAAAACTCGTTAGTCAGGACACTCGTAAGTCAAGGCCCCACTGTATCTGAAACCAAGATTACTATATTCAACAAGACTATCATTCAAAGTGGATGGTGAGATAAAGAGCTTCCCAAACAAAAAAAGGCTAAAGGAGTACATCACAACCAAGCCAGCATTACAAAAAATGCTAAAGAGACTGCTGTAATGAGAAAAAGAAATAGAGGGAGAAATCTAGGCATACAGAATTAAAATGGCAATAAATAAGAACCTATTAATAATAACCTTAAATTTAAATATATTAAATGCTCCAAACGAAATAGGGTAGCTGAATGGTTACAAAAACATGACCCAAATACAGACAGTCCTCAGGTTATGTTGGACTCGACGCAGGTCGTTTCGTGGTTACATCGCCATCTCCCATTTATTTATTAAGAAAAAGTTCTGTCATTTCGATGTATGTACATATGTGCTTTATGTTTTTTATCATTTATTTGCCACAAGTAAAGGTCAGGAATTGTTATCTTTCTTTTAAATTTTTTTTTTTACTGTTTCACTTCATTTTTACTGTGTATGTGCTCCATGTGAGTGACGTAGGTGCTTATGTAGGTGGGTTCCAAATTATGGCGAAAACCGCATTAAGTCACGCCATAGGAACCAATCTCCGACGTAACCCGAGGACCTAATGCAGTGGTTCTCAACCTTCTGGCCCTTTAAATACAGTTCCTCATGTTGTGACCCAACCATAAAATTATTTTCGTTGCTACTTCATAACTGTAATGTTGCTACTGTTATGAATCATAATGTAAATATCTGATATGCAGGATGGTCTTAGGCGATCCCTGTGAAAGGGTCGTTCGACCGCCAAAGGGGTCGCGACCTACAGGTTGAGAACCGCTGACTAATGTATATGCTATCTACAAGAGACCCACCTTAGGACAAGACACACACAGGATGAGAGTGAAGGGATGGAAAAAATGTTTCCATGCAAATGGAAAAGAAATAAAAGCTGGAGTAGCAATACTCGTATCTGAAAAAATAATCCAACAAGAGGATATAAGCCTGATAAACATATATGCACCCAATACTGGAGCAGATAAATACATTAACAAAAAAACTTAGAGAGGACTTTCAGGGAGAAAGAAACAACAATACAGTCATAGTAGGGGATTTTAACACCCTGCTGACTTCACTGGATATATCTTCCACACAAAAAATTAACAAGAAAATAGTGACTCTAAAGGACACACTGGATCAGATGGAGTTAGCTGACATTTATAGAACATTTCACCCCAAAGCTGCAGTATATACATTCTTCTCAACTGCACATGGATCACTCACAAAGACAGACCATATGTTAGGACACATAACAAGTCTTTACAAGTTTAAGAAGATTCAAATCATATCAAGCATCTTCTCCAATCACAGTGGAATGAAATTAGAAATCAACTATAGTAACAACACCCCAAAATATTCAAACACATGGAGGCTAAATAGCATATCATTAAACAAGATCAATAAGAAAATCAAAACATTCCTGGAAACAAATGAAAATGAACACACAACAACCCAAAATCTCTGGGACACAGAAAAAGCAGTCCTGAGAGGGAAGTTCATAGCACTATAGGCTTACTTCAAAAAACAAGATAAACATAAACTATTTAACCCTAAAACTAAAAGAACTAGAAAGAGAACAAGAAAAGCCCAGAGTAAGCAGAAGGAAGGAAATAATTAAGATTAGAGCAGAAATAGATAACAAAAATTAAAAATCAACACAAAAAAATCAATGAAACCAAGAACTGGTTCTTTGAAAGGATAAACAAAATTGATGAACTGAGCCAGACTCATCAAGAAACAAAGAGAGAGGACCTAAATAAATAAAATCTGAAAGAAAGTGGAGAAGTAACCACTGAGACCACAGAAATACAAAGGATTTTAAGCAAATACTATGAACAATTATATGCCAACAAGCTGGACAATGTGGATGAAATGATCAAATTCCTGGAAAACTACAATCTCCCAAAACTGGGTCAGGAATAATCAGAAAACTTGAATAGACCAATAACAAGTGATGAAATAGAAGCAGTAATAAAAAAACTCCAAAAAAACAAAAACCCAAATCTGGATGGCTTCACAGGGGAGTTTTACCAAACATTCAAAGAAGAACTAACACCTATATTCCTCAAACTATTCCAAAAAGTCCAAAAGGAAGGAACACTTCCAAGTTCTTTTTATGAGGACAGCATTACCCTAATTCCAAAACCAGATAAAGACACTATAAAGAAAGAGAATTACAGGCCAATATTCCTGATGAACATACATGCTAAAATCCTCATTAAAATATTAACAAATCAAATCCAGCAATATATTAAAAAGATCATACACCATGACCAAGTGGCATTTATTCCAGGGATGCAAGGCTGGTACAATATTCACAAATCAATAAATGTGATACATCACATAAACAAGTTGAAAGACAAAAATCAAATTATCATATCAACAGACACAGAAAAAGCATTAGACAAAATCCAACACCCATTTTTTATAAAATCAGCAAAATGGGAATACCAGGAGTATCTCAAGATGATAAAGGCCATATATGACAAACCTACAGCCAACATCATACTCAAAGGGCAAAAACTAAAACCATTTCCCCTAAGAACAGAAACAAGACAGGGATGTCCGCTTTCACTACTCTTATTCTGCATAGTACTGGAAGTCCTAGCCACAGGAATCAGATAAGAAGAAGAAATAAAAGGCATCCAAATTGGAAGGAGGAAGTAAAAATAAATATTAGCCGATGATATGATATTGTATGTAGAAAACCCTAAAGACTCCAGAAAAAAACTACTAGAGGTAATAAATGAATTTGGCACGATACAAAATCAATATCCAAAAATCGATGGCCT